TTTTAAGCTTCCTTCTTATCATTCAGCCATTGGAGTAAACACTACTCGTGCTGGGCAGAATATGATGGGGGGCCTTGTGGAGGTGAAAATAACATTTCGGGAGAGGGGATCCAGCCACATCTAAGCCAAGCCATCCGGCTATGGGGCTTTGCACTGAGGCTGGTGGGGAGGAGGGGCTGAGGTGGCCAAGGCATTCTTCGACCGGCTGGCCGCCGCCCTCCTCCTTGCCCTCCCCTCCGCCCTCCTCCTTGCCCATGCAGGAGGACAGGCTATTTTTAGCTTGGCATGGGCAACAGCAGCTGTCCTCCAGGGTCTAGTTACCCCTTGAAGTGACGTGGGGAAGGGGACCTCAGGGGAAATGACAGCCCCAGATTCGGACCGCTCTCTGGGAGGCCAGGGTCTCTCTAACCTTGGTCTATCTTGCCAGAAGCCCCCTCTCTTCACCCTTGGAGCTCTTGGATCGTGCACCTCAGCTGGCTTGAGACCCTGCAGGCCCCCTTTCTTCCAGACAAGTCTTCAGGAGAGTTTGGCAAGGCTTCTAGCCCACCCCTGCCACGGGCTTGCTAGGTGACTCACTTTGGCCCTCAGGGTCCCCCCCTCTACAATGAGGGAGACAAGCTAGCACCCCCTCATGGCTCCGTAACCAACACTGCCGAAGCCTCAGGTCTGCAGGGAGTCGGCAATCCCCAGGACCCCCCAACCCCTCCCCTTCCTAGAGAAGTCCAAGGCCTTCTTCCCAGGCTTCCTCCTAGACATCTGGGCCCCAGGAGCCTTCATGTTCCATCTTCAGACGTCCAATTACTGAACTACAGAGCACCCAGATCTGGCCTGGAACAGGTCCAGAAGTGCTCCAGCAAGCAAAGTGATGAAGTCCCTTCTTGTCCTTACCATGGTTGCTAGTCCCAGGGCCTCCTCTGCTGCAGGTCACCTCCTCAGCTCTCCACCACCCAAAGATGCCCTGGCCTGCTCCAGTCCCTCAGATTTGTAGGGGGCACCCTCTCCTCCCACCTCCCTGCTCCCCAGGACTAGTTGCCCTGGCCAATCAGATCCTGGGGTCAGCGAGCGCCTCCTCCCCCCTCTCCCCTCCCCCCCCCGCCCCCATCCCAGAGTCCTAGCCCATTACCTAATTTAGCCAAGGGCCCTTGCAGAGAAATTTAAGCCTCTGAGCAGGTGGCAGGCCTTAATGTCCTAGATTCTTGGAAGGAGAACCCGCCCTGCTCCTCTGCCTTAGGGAACCCCTGCTCAAGGAACACACTGGCTCCAAGATGGGTGAGGACGATCGGAATCGAGAAAAGTGAAGCAGCATGGCAGAGGGGGAAGAGCACAAGCCTTGAAGGATGAAACCCAAGATCCAGATCCTGTCTCTGCAAACAGTGCACTCTTAGGCAGGCGACGTGCCACTCTGAGCTTCAGTTTCCTTCTCCGAGAGGTGGTGATGGGGACAGTCATGACCTCCCTCACAGACAGACCATGGGAAATGGGGGCCCAGCTACAAGTCACCCAACTTGTGCCCACTCCATAGGGTTGGTGCTTGGCAAGTGCAACGTCCTGTCTTTGAACCATGGTAGAGGGCAGGGGAGGGGAGGAGGGGAAAGTGACGGCCACAGTCATTGAACCTCTAGGAGGAGCCACACTCTATGATAAGCATTTTAACCACGTGATGTCACCTAGATCACCCCATCCCATGAGGGAGAAGCTAGAATTATTCCCTTTTTACTAGGGGGCTTTGTAAATCATAAAGGCCTCTAGTCATGTCAGTCATTCTTTTTTTTTTTAAGATTTTATTTATTTATTTGACAGAGAGAGAGAGACACAGAGAGAGAGGGAACACAAGCAGGGGGAGTGGGAGGGAGAAGCAGGCTTCCCGCTGAGCAGGGAGCCCGATGCGGGACTCGATCCCAGGACCCTGGGACCATGACCCGAACTGAAGGCAGATGCTTAACGACTGAGCCACCCAGGCGCCCCATGTCAGTGATTCTTATTAATCCTGAAGGGAAGTTGGGACAACCCTTGAAGAGACCTGTCCAAACAAGAAATCTAGGGAGGGGTCCAGGAGATGGGGATGCAGTTGGAGGAGAAATAAAGTTGAAAGCATATCTTCCTCTCAAGTTTACCTTCTCCGGGAAAAGGGTGTTTGGGATTCTTTTTTTTTTTTTGAGGGAGAGGGGGATTAGGGGCAGGTTCTCTAGGTGAGTAAAGGGGCAGCAGGCCCCTTCCTAGAGCTCAGTGAAGAAGTCCAGAGCAGCTCAGCTAGCCATCTGGAGAGATGGGCAGAGCAAGTCCAGTCCGAAGGGAGCCCATCCTGCAAATCCACAGGGTCCAGGCTGGGTGTTGGAGAGGTAGGCGATGCTGTGGACAGTGGCTAAGTCAACAGAAAGAGCATGAAGACAACTGAGCGCAGAGCCTGGGGCCAGTGAAAGGAGGCTGGATTCCAAGGAAGGTAGACGGACAGTGGCAGCTGGGCCACCATCTTTCTCTATTTATAGACATTCCCAAGAAAAGCTCAGTGGAGCTAGGCCAGGCTACACAAGGCCTCCACCGGCCAGGCAGAGAGCCAAGGGGCAGCGACACCAGGGGAGTCCAATTTGGACGTGAGCCCTGGAGCCACCAATGATTCCTTTGAAGCAGAGAACTTGGAACCCTCAGCAATCATTTGTTCATTAATTTGTTCTTTCATTTATTCAGGAAAATAGATAAGGTCCAAATTTATCTATTCCCTTTAACCACTCCAACCTCCATCCCCTTCCCTCCCCATCCTGCATGCTGCTCTGCTCTGGTCAGACTAAAATACAGCTCCAAACAACACCCTGTGTAGCCTCCAGGTCTTTGCACGTGCTGTTTTTTCTGCCAGGAACTCGCATCTTCTCTCTCTTTACCTGCCTACTTCACTGTAATCTTTCTCAGCTTCAATATCACTTCCTTCCGGCGCCTGGCTGGTTCAGACAGTAAAGCATGCAACTCTTGATCTTGGCGTCATGAGTGTGTGTGTGTGTGTGTGTTTATATATTTATATATTATATATTTATATAAATATTTATTTTATATATATATATTTAAAGGGGCACCTGGCTGGCCCAGTCAGTGGAGCATGTGATTCTTGATCTCCAGGTCGTAAGTTTGAGCCCCACGTTGGATGTAGAGATTACTTGGAAAAAAAAAATACAAATCAAAAATAACATCACTTCCTTCAGGATCCCAAGGGAGTCCAAGGCAGTCTTCAGTAGTTTCTTCAGTCATAGCCCTGAGCATGCCACATGACATGACCTGCTCTGGGTTCCATGGACCAAAGACTGTTACCTGTTCTTCACTGCATTCCCCAGCACCCAGCACTTAGCACATGCTCAATAAATACCGTGTTTTTTATAGGAATAACTGAATGGAGTGGCATCTGGTTATGAGGAGGAAGTTCCTAACCGTCAAGGTTGAAAAATCACAGGAATGGGATGCCTCCGAAGATAATGAGCTCCCTGTTACTGACTGTATGCAACCAGGAATTTAATGACCATCTCTCAGGGTGGCTGTAGGGAGATATTATAGGATAGTGGAGAATACAAGACTTCAGGAGGAATAGTTCTGGTCCTATTTGTATGGCCCAGGGTAGGTCCCTTCCCCTCACTGAGCTTCAGACTTCCCATCTGTAAAACAGAAGTACCAGACCAGATTTCTGACAACCCATGGTTTTATGAATACCTGCTTTGTGTTTTTGAACACCTACCCAGATTTGTGAGACCTATGCCAAAATACAAGTTGATGTTCTTCGGTGTTCAATGAATGAGTGAGTGTTGAATGAATTAAGGAATGAAGTGTGTCTCTTTTTGCCCCCACACCCTGCTGCTAAGCTGAATGAAGAGGAGCTAGATTCTTGAAATTACATGGACTTGGCCATAAATCCTAGCTCCTGTATTTCCTAGCTCTGGATTTTGAGAAAGTCAACTTGCCTCTTCATCCTGAAAACGGACCATTATTATCCAATAACAGCCCCTCCCCCAAGATGTGAGTGTGAGATGTGACCCCATGTAAAATGCCTAGAACAGGATGTAGGTCACAGTGGAACCTCTGCACATAGTGGAGTGTGTTTCCCATTCAAAGCTACTTCCCCCCCTTCTCCCTCCTGTGCTGTTCAAAAAGGGTAGGAAGGACTGTCAGAGAGATTTTATTTGTTCGATTGTATAACCAACAATATCTGCCTTGCTAGGGACTGATAGCAAGGCCTTTTGACAGGTAGTGACAATAAATTCTTCCTGACCCACTGCTGCCCTCCTGGTAAAAGATAAAACACAGCCAGCCCTTCAGAGAAGCTGCTGAGATTACCAGGCCTTCTGTGTGGGAAAAGAAAAGAATGAGGAACTCAGGAAAGGTAGGCTACAAGGCCCCACACTCAGAAACCTCTGGCAAGCTGTGTGACTCTGGGCACATAACTCTGCCTTTCTGGATCTCACTGCCCCGTTTGCTACTTCCTATGTGTGAGGTTCAAATGAGATCCTAAGAACGTGTGAAGACTGTAGAAAGGATAATCACTATGGAACTGATTAGTCTGTCAGCCCCTGGTCTACGCCAGGCACTGGATCAGGGTCCTTACGAGGACTGCAAAATTAGTACTAGTTTTAATTGTTCCTGTTTTACACAGGAAACAAACCTTGCCTCTAGGCTCGAGGTCAGATTCCAACTCACATAACGTGTCTTCCCTTGGCCTCAGTTTTTTCACCGGAGAGATGGGCTTCCCACTGTGGCGTGACTTTGGAAAGTTAAGAGTGCGGGATGGAGATTGCGGGATAGATTGGGGGCAGTCGGGACAGACTGGGTCTTCGGGACGGGTGGCAGGATTCACGGGGGGAGTGAGACCCTGCGGACTGGGTACGATCCCGCAGGACGCTGGGGTTCGCCCAGGCCTACCCAGGATTCCCAAGTCCCTCACGGAGCGAAAGGCCCGGGATTCCCGGGAGGCTCCGGGGAGCGGGCGGGGCCGGGGGCGGGGCCGCGGCAGGAAGCGGCCGGAGCGGCGCTGGGAGCGGCCTGGGCCCGGCGAAGCCCGGCCGGCCTCGGTAAGCTGCCGGGGCTGCACCCCGGACGCTGGGGAACCGCGCGCCCCTGAGCGCACCGCGAGGCGCGGGAGGGAGAGGCGCCAGCGGGCGAAAGAGACGAGGGGAGTGTCCTGGCCTCTCCCGGCAAGAGCGCGGCCCTAGACTGCGCGGAGGGGGTGGGGGGGCGACGCCAGGAGACGCGCGCGGCTCGCAGGAACCCCAACGGGCTAGGGCGGGGCCTCCGCGGCGTCCCTCCCTCCGCCGGCTGGGCCCCGCCCCTCCTCCCCGCTAGGGGCCCCGGGTCTCCCTCCCGCCCCCGCCCAGGACCCAGCGTCGCGCACTCCCCCCAGGGTGCCATGGCCTCGCGGCTCCTGCACCGGCTGCGGCACGCCCTGGCCGGCGACAACCCGGGGGAGGCGGCGACCGGCCCGGAGGCCGAGCAGTTCCCTGAGAGCTCGGAGCTGGAGGACGACGACGCCGAGGGCCTGTCCTCCCGCCTCAGCGGCACCCTCAGCTTCACTAGCGCCGAGGACGAAGAGGACGACGACGAGGAGGACGACGGGGAGGTTGGCCCCGACCCGCAGCCCTCTGGGGACGGGGCGTCGGGAGAAGATGCAGGCGAGTTCCCGAAGACAGAAGCGGGAACCCTGGGCCTCGATTAGGCCTCCACCCCAGCCCTGTTCCCCAGCCATCTCTTGGCTGTGTGACCTTGAGAGAGCCACAACACCTCTCTGAGCCAAGTTTTCCCTCGTGTCAAATGGGGGAAATCACTCCCATCTTGGGGTTGCTGGGGGCATTGAATTTACAGGGTCTGGGATACAAATCGTTAATGTGCTCGCGATGTTTTGGGGGGTAATATTTATTTAGAGCCTACTGTCTGCCAGACACGGTGTTTGGCACCTGGCCCCTCTCTGGCCCTCAGTTTCCATTTATGTCAAATGGAAATAAAGCCTCTCACCTGTTGGGAGGATGAGTGAGGTCACCACACGTGGTTTATGTCCACCTTAGCCCCAGGCCCATTGATGTGACTGGTCGTGTCCCCATGCAGATCGGAGCCTCCCACCTGATGGACAGCGGGGCAGTCAGCCCCTGGCAAGGCAGTTGCAGGATTTCTGGAAGAAGTCCCGCAACACTCTGGTGCCCCAGCGGCTGCTCTTCGAGGTGACCAGCGCTAACGTAGTCAAGGATCCACCCTCCAAGTACGTGGTGAGTGAGGGTCCAGGAACCTCTGGGCTGTGAGTCTAGAAGTCTGGCTAAGAGAAAGGGAAGGTTCCCAACTTCCTTGGGCTGAGGTGGGGGGGGGGGGGGGGGGGGTGTCTAGCTGTATAGTTATAAATGGTCACTGTATATTAGGAGTAGGGAAACTGAGGTCAGAAAGGGGATGTAATTTGTTCAGGTCCTTAGGCAAATGACTTAGCTTTCTGAGGGATTATGGACCTGCCCCCCATCCTGGTTTTGAGACTAAGAGAACTGATGTGTGGGTCCCATCCCCCAGGTTTTGCAAACTGTAGCAAAATACAGGATATACAGGAAAGAATATCTGGGTCAGACCTGAGACCCAAGTTGCATTTGTTAGTGGTTAAAAAAAAAAATGGGTTTTGGATCCAGACCTTGATTCAGATCCCACTTATTACCAGCTGTTTCACCTTGGGTGAGTTGTGTAACCTTGATAACCCTATTTCCTCATCCGAGCAGTGGGAATAATGCAGAGGATTGTTGCAGAAATTAAATTAGTGCACAGAGAGCCCATAGCACTGTGCCTGGCATTATGAAGTGCTTGATAAAAGTCTTATTATTATGACTTAACTTTGGCTTGAAAATGTCTGGCATCTAGGGCCTGTTGTGGCCTCCTTACAACCCAGGTCAATCAGTCCCCGGGCACCGACACTGTACACAATAATCTTGTTCTGAGGGTTAGATTTAGGGGGTAGGGGTTAGGATGAAGAGCAATGTGGGGGAAGGCCTTGGAGTCTGGTTTTCCTTGCCTGTGGAAAGGAGAAACTGACAAGGGAGAATGAGGTCTGCCAGGTCCTGAAACCCAGCGTGACCTGGCCAGTCCTGGCCGACTCAGACTTCCCTCCTCCATTTCTGACTCAGCAGGAAAGGGGCCTGGAGCCGTGTCCCACATGTGGGCCTCTCCATTCCTTTCTGCTGCTGTTAGTAAACAAGGGCCACGCCCATGGGGTGACTGCTCCAATTTGAGCAGGGATTGACTCTGATGATCTAGTCTTAAGGGGCAGAAGTCCCAGGCCTCACGCACTGGCAAAGGGACCCCAAGGAACAGCCGGGAAGCAGGGAAATTTGGGATGATTCTGAGAATGACAGGCTAGAGCAGGATGGTCAGATATGCGCTGGCCCATGTCTGGGGAGACAGGTCCCGTCCTTTGTCCAAAGGGGACCCTAAATCCTGATTGAACTTTTCCCGACGGGGTTGAAAGCCCAGGCTGTGGAATTAGGTGGGCCTGGGTTTGAATCCCAGCTGGACCATTTACCAGCTCTGTGACTTAGGGGAAGTCTTTGAGCCCTTTGCTTCCCGTGGAGCCTGCTTCCTCGGCTGTCAGTCAGGGCCTCCCTCCTCACTATGCTCCATAGTAAAGTGCCCAGCACAGCACATCATAGCAGGGGCAGGTGCTAAGTTAATGGAGCTACTGTCATTATTACTCATGAGATAATGGACATAAAATGTTTCCTTTTTGCCAAAAATTTAAAAATAAAAGTAAAAGCTACATGAATATAAGGGGTCATTTTAGACAATGCTTCCTGAAGTGTATTTTGCAGGAAACTGGTTCCCTGGAATGTTGATAACCATTCCTTAAAAAAAAAAAAGGTTTTGCAGCCAGTATGTTTGGGGAATGCAGAACTGAATGGGAGTAAAATAAATTTCTTTAAGGTTAAACCTTTTAATCCTTAGTATTAACATACACTCAATCTTCGAGAGAAGTATAGAATAGACCAGAGGTGGCTAGAATATTGGCAGTTTCACAGAACAAATTCAAGAGAAAAGTCTGGGTTTGGTGTTAGTGTGCCTTCAACATCTCATGCTTAACTAATCCCCCTTTTTAAACCTGGTGGGTCAGCATTATAACAGATTAATCCGTATTCAGGTGCTCAGACCTAGGGGCAGCTTCATGGTCATCTTGATCAGCGTTTCTCAAACATCAGTCATTCCAGTACCACCTTCATGATTCTCGTCCTAGCTAAATGCTATTTGTACGATTCCTTGCTTAACATTTTTCTTTAAGTAAACCTATTTTTTTCATAAATAAGTTCAAAAGACTTCAAGGCAGTACTGTAGCTGGAAAGCCTTGCTTGCCATACCGTAAAAATTAATACAATAAAAGCAGTCATTAAAACCCTGCATGAATGCTGTTGCCTGAAGGCCCTGACCTGAGATTTGCTTTCTAGGTCTTTTCTGAAAGTGGAAATGAGACGTGTGGGAAAGTGCGTTTTAAAAACCAAACAGAGAGCTTCTCATCTGTAGTCAGGATTCAAAGAGAATTGGGGCGGGCGGGGGGGAAGTCGGGAAGTCACCTCCTGTCTCTGCTTCAGTGTTATTTATACTCCAGCACATACCACCTAGAATCTCAGAACCAACATTTACTTATACGCATCCCACCTGTGAGTGGACACTGACCTAGGCCACCACTTCGAGGAAAGCAGACCCAAGGGGGGACTGCCTTGCCTGACGACACGCCGCGAGGGAGTAGCTGACCAGGGGGTTAGGACCTGTGTCCCGATGCCCTCTTCACAGTGATCGCTACTTGGTCTATCTGAAGACCTCTCCTCCAGGTCTGCTTCGGAATAACCTGGCTAAGGATGTGAGGGCTCTGTGTCCAGAGCGGAACAAAGTCCAAGCTGGTCTTGAAGGTTGGTTCAGAGGCCCAAGAGATGGGCCTGGGTTTCAGCTCCCAGCTGGTTTACCAGAGGGGCTGTCAGAAGAGCTAACTGCCCTATGGGAAGGGAGTGCTCCCTGGAAGGGGGCAAAAGGGGTGACAGCTCCAGGCACTGAAGCTCATCTCTGTCTCTCTTTCCCCGTGCTGCCTTCGGCCCGGGTCATTTCAGACGAGCCTCAGGTAAGATGGGACTGGGCTCCCTGGCTGCCGCCCCAGCAGCTCCCACCCTCCTGGGCCCAGTCTCAGGGGCGAAGGGAAGAAGTGGGGCAACGCAGCTTGAGGTGTGGGTGTGGGGAGGGAAGGGGCGCACGGACAACTCACACCTGCCCTGGCCCCACCCTCCCCACAGCTCTACACCCTCGCCGTGATGGGTCCAGGGCCACCTGATTGCCAGCCTGCCCAGATCTCTCGCCGCTACTCGGACTTTGAGCGGCTGCACCGAAACCTGCAGCGACAGTTCCGGGGCTCCATGGCCGCCATCTCATTCCCCCGGAAGCGCCTGCGCCGGAATTTTACGGCAGAGACCATCGCCCGCCGCAGCCGGGCCTTCGAGCAGTTTTTGAGCCACCTGCAGGCAGTGCCTGAGTTGCGCCTTGCCCCAGACCTGCAGGACTTCTTCGTACTGCCCGAGCTGCAGCGGGCCCAGAGCCTCACCTGCACCGGCCTCTATCATGAGGCTCTGGCGCTCTGGGCCAACGCCTGGCAGCTGCAGACCCAGCTAGGTACCCCCTTGGGCCCAGACCGACCTCTGCTGACCCTGGCTGGGCTGGCTGTGTGCCACCAGGAGCTGGAAGATCCTGGGGAAGCCCGGGCATGCTGTGAGAGGGCCTTGCAACTGCTGGGGGACAAGAACCCCCACCCTCTGTTGGCACCCTTTCTGGAGGCCCACGTCCGGCTCTCCTGGCGCCTGGGCCTGGACAAACGCCAATCAGAGGCCCGGCTCCAGGCCCTGCAGGAGGCAGGCCTGACCCCCACGCCACCCCCCAGTCTCAAAGAATTGCTCATCAAGGAGGTACTGGACTGACTTTGCCTAGACTTCAGGCCACTGTGGGGAGAGGCACCGCCCCGGGATGGAGGGTGGAGGTGAGCAAGGAGGACATGAATAGCAGTTGGGAAGCTGTAGGGGGTGCTGGGAACCCCTAGAAGCCCTATGAAGGATTTGTAGCACACCAAGGAACCATGTTCCTTCTGTCGAGCTGGGCTCAGGACAAGTTTGGCCGGGGTTGCCCTGGGGTGGTGTAGGGAGCAAGTCTGATGCAGCCTCTCCAGCTCATGAGTGTCTGGGGACCGTGCCCCAGTGTCGGTCGGCATTACCTCTTCCTTGGCCGCACGGCCAGCAACTCTTCCTCTGGAGTCCTGGAGTATGGCTGTCGTCTGGCCCAGGGGAATTAAAGGCCAGCAGCTCCAGTGGTATTAGTCTCTTTATTGGGTTTGGGGACAGAAAGCCCAGCCCTCAACTGTACAGAGTTGGTGGGGAGAAGAGTGATCCTTGAAGCCCGAGGCCAAGCTGGTCCCTCTGGCTACAGCTTGCTCTCTGAGACCCAGGGCTTCACTCGGATCACGCCCTCCTGGGCACAGGACACAGCCAGGACACCGTCCCGACGCCACAGCCGCCCTTGGACCAGCCCCCGGGAGCCACCTGTGGGTGAGGGGAAGGGTGAGAACAGCCTTCTCCTTCACCAAATGTGCTTCTTGAAAAGGGTGCAACCGGTCTGGCTGCCCCATACAAGGGCACATCGAGTGTTGTGGCCTCCCCAAGTCTCTAAGTGCTGCGTGATGAGCCTATTAGGAATGGTCCCTGGGGGGAACTCCTGAGGGAATCCCACTTGACAGTTTAAAAGCACTTTCACATATCTACTGGCTTCCTCAGAAAGCTCACAGCGGGGAGAATTCTGAGGGCAGTCTCGGGTCAGTAGCTTGGCTAAGCAGATCCACCCCAACTCTGGCCACTTGTGATAGGAAACCCCGCAGTTCCCTTTCTAATGAATCAAACTGGGTCCTCCAGGGTGGTATTTCACACCAAAAAAAAACCCCATCCTCACCCCTACCAGGACGAATGGGGTGGGGTGGGGGGACCTGGGGCCATCACATCTGGCCACCCTCCCTCCCCGCCTGGAGACTCCTTTGCTAGCCTTGGGCCTGAGTGGAAGGTTCTGGAGGGAGCTGCTGGTCTCCCTTACACAGAGTAGAGCTCTCTTAGTTCTCATAGTAGCCAAGTGAAGCAGGCCTTGGCCCATTTTCCAGATGAAGACACAGGGAGCCTCAGGCACTCAGCTATAAGGAGCTGGCCAAACCAGGTGTCCTAACTGCAAGGCTGCTGATCTGTGTTGCAACATTACTGATGCTGCAGAGTCCCCCTTCCCTGAAGAGAGGATCCCTCAAGTTTTGTCCCTGTTTTATAGAGCAAGGCCTTTCTTCATCTGAAGTGTGCTTCCCCAGAAAGGAGCCCAGGGCTCTGAGACTAGACAGTGCTGAACACGTCTGGGCTTCCCTGCGTACCACGAGGGTTCAAGTAGCGGAGCCCTCAGAGACTACGGAGGGCCCTGACCCCCAACCAGGTTGGTTAATCTGCACCATTGTTCAGGGAGCTGCTTAAAAATAATAGTTTCCTGGATTTCATCCAAGACCTGAGTCAAAATCTTGGGGGTTGAATCTGAGTATCTATTTTGAAAAAACTCCCCCAACTGGCAGTCTGACATGCCACCACATTCAGCTACCACTGCTCTCATGTGACCCTATTTGTTTAGATGGGGAAACTGAGGCTCAGAGAGGCGCTGAGACTGGCCAAGGATCACATAGAGAATCTGAAGTGCTTCCGGGCCTAGAACTGGTCTCTGACACTCCCTGCATGCTACAGAAATTCAGCTGAGCAGGTGTCCCCTCTCGAGCCTCAGGCTGTCATTTTGAAGACAAAAATGCCAGAGCCGAGACGCGTGGGTGGCTCAGTTGGTTAAGCGACTGCCTTCAGCTCAGGTCATGACCCTGGTGTCCCAGGATCGAGTCCTGCATCAGGCTCCCTGCTCAGTGGGGAGTCTGCTTCTCCCTCTGACCCTACCCCCTCTCATGCTCTCTCACTCACTCACTCTCTCCCTCAAATAATAAAAAAATCTTAAAAAAAAAAAAAAATGCCAGAGCCTAGGGGGGCAGGAGAGGAAGTGACGGGCAGTGCCCCACAGGATCACCCGAGAAAGCAGGCTTCCTGCCCACCACACCCTGCCAGCCCCCTTGTCCCACGTGGCCCCGTACTCACCAGCCCAGGGGCTCTCACACTCATAGAGCATCCAGTGGTCAGCTCGGAAAGGGGTGTGGAACCACATGGAGTGGTCCAGAGAGGCCATGAAGTGCACCTTGTGCTGCTGCTGGTGGGGCAGCATTGCCGTGCCCAGGAAGGCGTAGTCCGAGATGTAGGCAACCACGCAGCAGTGTATCTTCATGTCGCCCTCCCCTGCAACGCATGGGGGCCCTGTCAACCCTGGGCTGCTGGGTTTTACAGCTCAGGACCTGCGGGGAGGTGGGCAGAGAGGGGCTGCCATGCACAGATGTGTAGAGTGCTCACTGCATAAGGGCACCTGGCCCGGGGGGGGTGGTGTCTATGTCTGTGTGTGTATGTGTGTGAGTGACAGGTGACAAAGGAGGCAGGGATGGGCAGAGGGGCAGGGCTAAGTGAGGTATGAAATCCAGTCTTCACTCCCTGTCTCCCACGCTGAGCCCTCTAAGGGGTGCAGCTTGCACAGAGGCCATGTGGTTAGCAAGGGGTCCTGGAGAAGAATCTCTAAAAGGTGCCTTGCCTTCCCCAGAAAGGGCCTCTATTGGGATTATTGCAGTCACCTCCCCCTTATCTCCATGTAGGCAGTGGAAAGGGTCCTGGTGAGAAGCTACTTCCCCATCATGCCAACAAGGAACAGCAGGCCCAGAGGGGAAAGTAACACACCCAGTGCCACAAAGGGCATATAAGGTCCCAGCCTAGCCCCTAGAAAAGTGTTTTCTTCCAGTCCTTGGGGTCCTCTTACCAATATGGCCCCGGGCTCGCACCCAGAACATCTGTTTGGGGTCCATGCTCTGCAGCTGGCTCAGGGTAGGTGGCTTTACCGGCTTAATCTCAATGGGCACCTCCTTGGCAGCAATTCGGTTCAGTCCCACCCGGTACTTCTCTTGGAGGTTGGGGTCCCTGAAAATAAAGGGGAAAGGGAGAGCCTCTCTGAGCTGCCTCTGTGACCCCCTCCTTCCTCCATGGGGACTCCTGACTTTTCCCCACCGCGCCCCTCCCGTCTGACAGGCAGAAGAGCATAGTGTCTGAATGCTTTCTCTGCCACTTAGGAGCCCTGTGACCTTGTGCACGTTAGTAACCTCGCTGAGCCTCTCTTCCCATCTGCAAAACGTAGACAATGACAGCAGCCTACCTCCTAACGCTTCAGAGTAGCAAGGTGGACCCTATCAGAGGTACCCTTCTAAGCATTTCACATACACTACACACTATCTCATCACGACAACCCTATGAGATAATGCTACCATTACCCCCCTGATAACTGACCTGAAATAAGCAGCGGGAATTCGAGGAGCTTGCTCAGGAAGTGGAGAAGGCAGGATGTGGACCCAAGCAGTCCGGCTCCATGGTTCAGGCTTTTATCCACTTTGCTATTCTCAACTTTCAGGAAGCAGGCTGCGCAACTGGGACCAACCTACCTAACCCTAAGCAATTGGGAAGACCGTGTTCCGGGGGAGAGTGGGGAGCCCATCTCCAGGGGCGCCCCCTCCACCCTGGTGACAGCCACCCCAAGTGCTCTTCACCAGGGTTTCCATTTTCAGCCCCACCCTCTAAGGCACTGTCCCCCAGACCTCACGTGACGGTGGGAAGGTTCTGGACCTGCACTGCCCATTCCGCTAGCTGCTAGCCACATGCGGCTACTGAGTGCTCGGAGTGTGGCAGTGTGACGACAGAATTGTGCGTTCTATTTAATGTTACCTTAACAGAGCCTCATGTGGCTAGTGGCTTCCTAGGTGGACAGTACAGCTCTCTATTTAGGGACCTTTAAGACCAATGTCCTCCTTTCCTTTCAGCGAACATTTGTGAGCTCTGAAACCAAGCTTTGTGATTACTCCTGTCAGTAGTGGTATAACTACAATTCACGAGCTGTCACGAAGTGACTTATCTCTTACAACATTTAATCCTCCTACAGCTTTATGAGGTAGGAATTATGATTAGCCCCCTTTGTACCTGTGAGCAGAGGCTCAGAGTGGGAAAGCAACTTGCCCAAACTCACACAGCTAGCAGAAACAGAGTCTACATTTGAACCCAGGCCTTTACCAAAAGATCAAACACGTATCTATCCCTTCAGTACTCTGCTCCTCCCCGCATGCAGCACAGGACAGGGGAGCTCTCCCTAGCTACAGCTGTGAAGTAGGCAGGACAGACATGACCATTCCCAATTCTTGGACAAGGCAGGACTCTGAGAAGCTGGGGAGTCGGGCAAAGTCACACAGCAGGGGAACACTAACAGAGGCACAGACCCGACCAGAATCCGTGCTCTGTCCTGTGTCGGGGCCCAGAGCTCTTTCCCCAACTTTATTAGCTGTGATCCAAAAGAAATGTATTTCACCAGGTGATACTCAAAACATTGAACACACACTAAGGCAAAGGCAGCAGGGACCGTCACCCCTGCCAGGCATTACCTCCTAGGCTGCTTCATCATGAGTGATCCCAAAGGAGGAGAGGGATCTCTCGGGGACTGGAGAGGTATGTACCAAGTGATCACAGAAGTGTTCCCATGTTTTAACAATCAGTAAAGCTGTAACAGTACCTGAACCGGCCGAATCAGAAGCTCTGCATTTACATCCTGACGCAACACGCTTGCCCGTGCGCACAGGTACACACACCAGACACACACAACCGACACACAGGACTCACAAAATGGGGCTTACCCTTACTACACACAAGATGCTCCAATATCTGCATTTTTTAAAATGCCAGTCAAGACCCACTAAAGGATTCCGTGACCCACTCCCAGGTGACAACTGCAGGTGTCCTGGAGCCTCCCAGCTCTCTCACCTTAAATACTGGTCGATGAGGGCCTCGTGGTCCAGCAGCTCTTCGGGTGGGGGCACGCTGGGCATGGAGAACTGGTGCTGCACGGGGTTGGGCTGAGCCTTCTGGAAGGAGGCCTGGCAGATGAAGATGGGCTTGCCATGCTGCACGGCCTTCACGGAGCGCACCGAGAAGCTTGTCCCTGTCCGCGTCCGCTCCACCTGGTACAGCACCGGCAACTTGGGGTCCCCTGCGGCAGGCACAAGTGACACATTGAGTCCAAGTGAGCCCCATGTGAGCAGTCATCATCACCACGGCTGGACAGGCACCTCCGCTACTCGTTCTCTATTCTGCTCGGTAGCCCCTGACTGAGGCCTGCCACAGC